CATATGATCTTTTAAAAAATCAGCTAAACAGTTCACCAACACGATTATGGTGAATTGGCGAGTTATCAACGACGACGACGACGACAATGACGTATCTGGCCATGAGCAGAGTTTGTTGCGTTTATATTAAAAAAAATCCGTGTCGGGTAGCTGAATCCCGATTAATCCATAAATATGATTCAGTAAGGGTCAATTTCCTGCAGTTCATCAAGGTAGCATTGTGTGGAGATTAAATTAGCCTCCGAAAATCTTTCTAACGCTGGTCTCATCGTCCGTTTCCATGTGCATTTTTCAGGAGTCGATATTTTACATTATTACACCTCATGACCATGATACAGCCAATCAGATTCGCGCATTACAGGTAGACATATTCGTGTGTCGACCTGCTGCCATATTCGTATGTCTACCTCTATCTGGGTACCTTCCTCCTGAATTTACCTGATATACGCAAATAACTTGTCAGGGGAACACAATACGCGGCAATATTTGTGAACTGATTAGTCTGCCAGGTTTGCGTTCACTATTTGACTATCGTGTTGGAAAGAAAACTGGGATTTTGTAGCGATTTCGCGTGCTTTTTAGTCGCGCTTGCCGTGCGTTTCGCTAGCGCGACCACGCAGTTCGTCTACTCACAGTCCGGTGTTGAGGGACTGTGGTCTACCTAAATAAAATAGAGAGTCGTGGCCTTTGCCTTGTGACGGCACCGTTTTGTTTGATTTTGATACGTATTTTGTGTGTTTTGAAAGTATATCGACATATTATGTTCAGTATATTTATTGAAAGAGAATGGTGTTGACATAAACCTATACTCAAGCAGTGTAAAGCTGGAAAATCAATTTACATCATGAACAAAGTACTTTTAGGAAATCTAGACATAAAACTAAAAATGAAACTATTTAACATTTACATAAAACCAATTTTGCTTTATGGCTCAGAATTATGGGCCCTAGACTTGCAGGACATTCAGGACAATGCTAAATGGGACAAAACATTAATTGAAAAAATCATTATTAAATTCTGCAAACAAATCTTACAAGTAAATAAAAAATCCTGTAACTTAGCACCAAGGGCAAAGGTGGGTCATTATCCACTACTGCTCAGTGCAAAAGTTCAAGCTATTAATTACTGGTTGCATATAAAAGATCTCCCAGATGATAATCTTAACAAAACAGACAAACCTAGAACAAACACAACACAATACTATACAATACAAATGGCTAAATGCAATACATACAATATTGAAAGACAATTCACTAAACTTCATAAAAGAAAAAACATTCACTATCAAAGAAAAAAATCAAATTAATCAAATTTTAAAAACTTCCCTTGAAAATAAATATACCAGTTTCTGGAAAGAAATGATTTCCAAAGAAAATAGAAAACTGAGAACATATGCTAAATTTAAAACAGAATACATCTTTGAGCCATATTTGAAT